AAAAAAAAAAAAAAAAAATTCTGCATCACTATCCACTTAAACAGTTTAAATGTAGATTTGGGTTTTTGGGGATTTTTAGGGTGTTTGATTAAGTTCATTTGTATATAACATAAGGGTAAAAAATTAGAGACTTTGGAGAATTTAGTTTTATTTTTAATTTTTAGATTAACTACTCATCCCAATAGTTCATAATAGCACAACATGGTTACAAAATTGTCTAACAAGAAATTATAAATAATAATAATAATAATAATAATTTAATTCCTCACTTATACATTACAAACGCATGAGGAGAGTTCTTGGCAGTAAAGACCCGTGACTGGCAGATCAGCATGCTACTTAATTTCTCTCCAGTACGGTATGAAATTAAATAAAATGTGAATTATGTTAACTGTGACAAGATAATTGACGGGGAAGTTTAAACAGTGACTGGATGCATGAAACTAAACTACATAGCAATCTGTTAAAGATGCAGTTATGACGAAATGGTATGTCCCAAAGCTCACCTACTTTTCTGCTACAAGCTCCAAAGTATGTACTTTTTCTTCACACAAAGAGTACATACTTTCAGGACATAGTATAAGTAGGTGAATTGGGAATGTGACAATAGTTTGAGATATACCATGGTTTTTAATGATTTACCAAACTTATACACTGGCATTTGCAAGGTGCTTTAGAATGGTATAATCTTAAAACAGTTGAAATGCCATAGTATTTTGTGTTAAGAGATGGCTTATCAATATTTCACTATCAGTATCATTAATAAAGATGACCCTTACTCTGATATCCTTTAGAAAATACTTCCTTATGAACCATTAATATTTAACAACTTCTTGTACACGCCATAATTTCCCATCACGCTGGCAGAACCCAGCCAAACGAAGGTCACACTCTTGTCTCTTCCTCTAGAACAGGGGTAGGCAAGTTCGGTCCTAGAGAGTCGCAGTCCTGCAGAGTTCAGCTCCAACCCTGAAAAAAAAAACTCACCTGCCTATAGCCTTAGTAATCCTGAAGACATTGATTAGCTTATTCAGGTGTGTCTGATTAGGGTTGGAGCTGAACTCTGCAGGACTGCGGCTCTCTAGGACCGAACTTGCCTACCCCTGCTCTAGAAAGTCCGGTACAGTTCTCTTTTGTTTGTGGTTAATGTGTAGCGGTATCGTGTTGAACTCTGATACACCTCCGGGCAGCCTTGGCATCGGGACTTGAATCTCTGAGTTTGGCTGGGAATGGCTTGGCTACTGATCAACCAGCTCAGGCATGATAAATCCAGACTCTCCCAGTCTTTGTCTTTGATTCTCCGGCTGAACTGGGGTTTGTTTAAGTGTGCAGTGTGGCAGAAGTGAGCTGCGTCACTGCAGGCTGGTGTATGTGAACTGGAGGCAGTAGAGTCACATGGTTTCTCCTCTCCAGTCAGACATCCACGTTTGAGCGGGCGTAGGTGGCCCCACTCTCAAACGGGCTGCTGGCAGATGGTGTTTTGTTGGAGCACTGAGGACTTCAAAGTGGGATTGACTGGGAGAACTACACTGCACTTGGTTTAGTCAGACCTAGGCCTCCATGGTATCTTCTTTGTTTTTATGCAATGTTTTTCACCACAATCCATGTATTTTAATGGAATGGTGCACTGCAGATACCATTCCATTAAAATACATGGATTGTGGTGTTTTGGTGTGATACCAAGCCCTAGTACCTTGGCAGTAATTGCCACAAGCAACAACTAATTTCATTTTAGCGCAAAATTAAAATTTCAAAATCAGAATTTAACGTCTTTATTGTCTATTTATTTATTTAAATGTAGATTGTACAATTTCCCTGTTTTGAGTTTTTTCTTTTTTCTTTTTTATTATGGAGGAAAAAAATTATTCATTACGTAAGGATAAAAATTCTACATGAGTTCTATGAGCCACAGCACAATGTCGCCAAATTTGCACAATGATGGTGATATTTTTCCCCCACACTATATATTGTATGTTGTGCATCTCTTTAGTATAAAGTATAAAAGCAGCCTTAAAATTAGTGTTATTGGTTGCGGAAAGCATTTTTAAATTAGCCAAAATATATAATAAACAGGCAAGTGAAATACGTTATTGTGAATGATGGCTGTGGAAAATTGTGGATTCAGTGCAGCCCTAGTCATGATGTCCTTTTCTTAAATCGCTTTTTATGACTGATAAACTGAAGCTCACTATATTGACTTTTTTTTTTGGGATAACATGTCACTTTTAGAGTGATTACATGTCTATATGTATTACTATTAGGGATGGGGTCACGATTTTCGAATATTCGATTAGTTGATTTAATTATAGAATATCGAATAGGTTTTGCGATTGTCTTAAAAAATTTCCTCATGTTTTCCGTGCTGATGCGGTGGTGACGCGTTCATGTAAGCAGAGGGTTGCGCTGCCAATAACGCACTTAAAAGCTGTCAAAGACAACAGAAGAACACATTGTCTCACGCGCACACTGTAGACTTGCGTGGCATTAAAAAAAAGACTTGCGTAGCATATAACGGTTACAGTAACTTGGAATGATGTCAAATAAGAGCTCTGTGCGGACCACAAACACCCCCGACTGGGTTAGAGGTGTGGCTGAATCTGTATTCAGAAAAGCGCGGAAAACAAATAACGCGTTCTACGGAGCCACTATAGGGACATGGATAGCCGCTTGCTAGCAGTAGCCTGTTACATTACACAATACATAATATTTCACTTACCACATAAACAGAATAAGGAGAGATGATGGCGAATGATTTGCAAATCCTGAGCGCCACTGACAAACATCTAATCTTGTAAAATGTGTGGCAAGTACTGCCGAGTGCTGCTCCGTACGTGTGATCGCGAATCTCAAAAGTAAAAAACAAGTGCGTGTTCATGAGCAATTTCAATGCGCCGCATATTAATAACGGTTCCCTGATGCCCGCAGTTTATATACAGTATGATTACCCAATGATATAATTGCGACAGAAGATATCGAAGTATATTTTTCCTCCCATCTCGTATCTATTCCCTTTAGGGGTTCCATTTTTTTAAATGGAAATGTCCTTATGAGCAGTTGACTTATGCTAATTCATGGACTGTTATGTTAATAAGTGCCGTCATTCGGTTATGTTTATTATATTAATATGTTTCAGCACGTTACAATCATTATATGGCTTGAGTTAAGACAGCCTATCTTCTGAATTAGTTTATCATACAGATTGAAAGCGTGAATCCCGTCTCTCTGTTTATGGGTATTTGTGCGTGCATGCGGGGGAGGGGTGCGGTTTTTGAATAATAATCGAATAATACCCAGCGATTTTCGAATATTATTTTTGCTTGGAATGCCCATCCCTAATTACTATATGAATGTCCTGCCACTCTTTGAATTCCCACTCACATGTTCCAGCAGCATCTAGCAGTGGAGTGTCGATAGAAAGCTTGTGAAAGTTAATCAGCAGAGATAGATAGAAACCAACACCTGAATATGTGTTATGTGCAGTCTGAACACAATATGAGTCATCGGCAGGCCAACAGTGTGCTCTATTCTCAGGGGTGTTACAACACCACCACACAATGAGCAGTGTAGGCTTTGCCTGAAACTACCCACATCACCCTCACAAGATGCATAGAGTTTAGAGACACATGTATATGCTTTAGCTATTAAATAAAGAGTCTGCAGATGCTTTTTTTTTTTTTTTTTTAGGCCAACCTGGAAGTTAGCATTTTATTCTGGTTCCTTCTACAACATTGGATTATTGCAGAAAATAAGCTCCGTGACCTGCAAAAGTTTCATTCATGCAATTTTGTTCATCGTGATAATCTTTACAAATGAACACAACTTATGAATTTTGAAGCCTGATGAACTACACTACGGTCACATGACTTCAACATCACTACTATATTAAGCTTCTGGGAACTCTGAGTCTTTATTTTAAAAACATTTTCCCTGAAAGTTTGAGTTAGAACAGTTTGCAAGAGCATGATTTATAGGCACATTAAAAGGCTGTGAAAGCAGACTAGTGAGTAGATGAGTTTTCCTGTTCAAGTGACGACACTTAGCCAGGTTAGACGCTATATTGAATTTAACACTGATGAAAATGAGGTTGTGACGGATAGACTTAGTCTTTACAATGACACACACTGTATAATAGTCCTAGATCATATAATTTTTGCCATCTCACAAATAAAAAAAAATAAAAAAAACTTTTGTCTACTGAAAGTTTTTATTTTATTTATTTTTTCAGAAAGATATTTGGTCAGCTGAACAGTCAGTATTTTTTAAACAACATTACAATCCCCTGAATGCACTGTATTTCAGTCCGTCACAGCCACATATTCATTCCTGTGGATGTTAAAACTTAATTTTCTGTATTTTTCTGTTTCATTTCCTGTGGAAATTAAACATGGCGCTACCCTGACTACGGTCTGTATCCCCAGCAAACTCTGCAGTCCCATTTAGGGGGTATTCACACCTGTCTTGTTTGGTTCGATTGAATCGAACTCAAGTTCGTTTCCCCCTTTGGTGCAGATCTTTTGGGCAGGTGTGAATTCAGCAATCACACTCGGGTGCGCACCAAACAACCATACCGAGACCCAGCTGAAGAGGTGGTCTCGGTCCGCTTCCAAGTGAACTCTGGTACGGTTGAATGGATGAAACAATGAATGGATGACCTTAAGCACACATGTGGTTTTGTTTACAGTTTCTGGTTCACTTGCAAAAAGGGCAGTGTGAAAGCGAACCGCACCAAACAAAAAAAAATCTACTTTGCATTTGGTCCGGACCAAAGCAAGTGAACTAGCGGACTTTCCTCATGTGAATACACCCTTAGACATTTGATAGCAACCACCTTTTTCAAGAGTAAATAAATAACAGATTGATTTGATCATCATATTTATATTATGTATTTTATGCTGTAGAATAAAACGTGAAAATCTTGAGCTTGCTTGAACCACAGACCATATTTTAGTAATTTGACCAAAAACCTATTTAAAAAAAACATCAGTTTTGTGACAATGCAACTGAAAGTGCTAAAAATGCTAACTTGTTAGGATTTTTGTGAACAAAAATACATCATCCCTGCACCTCTAAATGCCAAACTTTGGAATCAGCCACCTTACTTAATATATCTGGCACTGCAGTTTTGATAATGCTGGTTTCCTGGCATAATTCATGTGTGATTGCAAGCATTCAAAGTGACTTGCGGCAAAGCCATCTTCATTTACATATTCACCCATTTGCATAGTTTTCACAGTGCTGCCATCTAGTGGCTGGAGGAATAAATTGCTTTAATCCTCAATCAGCTGAGGCCATAATTTCATTAAAACTACACACTTAACCATTAAAGAGAGAATGTTGACTATCGTAGTTAATGTTCCTGTATTTTTCTTGTGTTTTTCTTTTAAAGTAGAGGGTCTGCCTCAGGTCTACTATTTTGGGCCCTGTGGGAAATACAATGCCATGGTTCTGGAGCTGCTCGGCCCTAGTCTTGAGGATCTCTTTGACCTGTGTGACCGAACATTCTCCCTCAAGACCGTCCTGATGATCGCCATTCAGCTGGTGAGTGCACAGGCCCTCTGAGAAGCTGCTGTAGTTTAAGAGCAGTGTGGCACCTGGGTGAGAAGTGCGTGCATATCGTTGGACTGATGCTTTGCAATGTAAACGTGTAATGTGAGTCCATGTGTTCAATTTCCCCAGATATCCCGCATGGAGTATGTGCATTCTAAAAACCTCATCTATAGAGACGTGAAGCCAGAGAACTTCCTCATCGGTCGACAAGGAAACAAGAAGGAGCACATCATTCACATCATAGACTTTGGCCTTGCGAAAGAATACATTGACCCAGAAACCAAAAAACACATTCCTTACCGGGAGCACAAGAGCCTTACCGGCACAGCTAGATACATGTCTATTAATACACACTTAGGGAAAGGTAAGTGTAAGATACCTCCCTAGTCTGATCCTAAAATGGACTTAACATTAAATTAAGCATGTCACTATCCCCACGCTTTATGTGGTTTCTTGATTGGCTGTTTGGGAATCATGAACCAGTTCTCTTAAAGAACATGATATTCATGTTTGGTTCCTTAAATGTTGCATTGAATCTATAGCACCTCAGTCGTCGTGATTGTGTCGTCTAAACTGAATGTGATGCCAGAGGAAAAATGGGTGTCCCAAGATGATACAGTAAAAAGAAATAAACAGACAACCTGGACAGTGCTGTCCTTTTTACTGAATAATTAAAAAATTCAGAAGATGAGTCACTTATTATTCTGGAATGACTGACACTGAATCAGTCGAATTGGATACTGAATTATCAACTTACTTACTCACTGAATCGCATGTCATGCCATGTCTAACTCAGAATAAAAAAGCAAGAACATTTACTGTTATGTTGTAAATGACTTAAGGTGATGGTACATGGGGAAACATTTTTTGAGCAATGTTTTTTTTAGTCATCCACTGAAACGTGCTTGATACATGAGAACAAACCTCATTTGTTCAAGCAAGTACAGTTGTTCAAAATTTTTGTTGCAAGGACTTTAAGTGGATGGACAAAAATGATTGTTCTGTAGATGAATTTAAGTCTTACGGTTTTGAAATAAGACATGGATATTTATTTATTGTTTTGGTTAATTATTTGGTCAAATCATGGAATGATTTATTTTTTTGATCATATGATCGATGGTCAGTATATTAATAGTTAAGTAAATCATATAGAAACCAGATTTGTTAAATTCCGCATGATTCCCATCTCTACTGTCCAGCCAACTTCATGTTATTGTGTACATGATGTTACTATTTTATTTACTTTTTTTGCAGAGCAAAGTCGGAGGGATGACCTTGAGGCCTTGGGTCACATGTTCATGTATTTCCTCCGGGGTAGTCTCCCTTGGCAGGGACTAAAAGTATGTTAAACTAGCATGTTAAAGCCATTAAAACTGTTACTAATTTAGTTCTTGAAAATCAGACGTTGTTGTTTTTGTGCTTTGCAGGCTGACACACTGAAGGAACGCTACCAGAAGATTGGGGACACAAAGCGAAACACTCCCATTGAGGTTCTCTGTGAGAACTTTCCTGGTGAGACCCCCATCATGTGCTGCATTTGTATCAGCTAATCTTAAAGTCAACATAAAATCAGAACTGACCTTGTTTACTTTCTTAATACACATATCCTGGTTTTTGCAGGATTCAGAAGTGCACATTATTCCAAAGGAAATATAATGTTTCTTTGTAATAGGGTTGCGCAAGACTAGTCGACTAAACGATACTGCTGCTGCTTCAAATTACTATCATGTTAATGATACTTAAAAAAAAAATATAACACATTGCTTATATCTTGAGTGGAAAACAAAATCATTTCATATTGCATCAGAGCTTGGTGTGTTTGTTTTCTCAGTGTAACTCGCGACAGGTTCAGGGAATTGTCCACTCAGAAGATGAGCACGTTGAGATAGTAATTTGATTTAGAAGAAAACCGAAAAGTTTGCTGCAGTCTGTGTGAAACTGGCATACAAAAATTAAGCTTGCTTATGAGGGAAAATACCGGTATCAAATTTTATATTGGTTTAAAGGGGAATAAAATTCAAAATGAAACCTACTTCAATAACTCGATAGACCAAATATTGAATAAGATAAATAAATATTTTTTATGCAATAAACAAACAATAAAAAAAAGGAACTTACTTGACAGCAGCAGGTCCTATATCAATGTCCTAATGAACAGAATACCCTTAAACAATGTTTAGTTGCTGGTACATGCCAAACTTCTGTCAGGTGTATGTGGGCTTTATAATAGGCTTATATGTTTGTAGTAATTGGTCGCTGCCTATTGATTCAGATGATTTTAATAAATACACTCAGCAGCCACTTCATTAGGTACATCTGTTCTGTCATTTCTGCCAGCTAAGGACAAAAATCTGAGGCTACAGTTTGCATGGGCTTACCAAAATTGGATAGAAGATTGAGAAAACGTTGCCTGGTCTGATGGGTCTTGATTTCTGCTACAACATTCAGATAGGGTAGGGTCAGATTTTGGAAGAAAGAATGCTCATTTACGCACAGACATGGTTGACAGCTGCACCAACACCATTTTAGATCAATTAACTGTAATACTGTATAAAATATCCATTCAAACTGAAAGCATAAATGTTGGCGGTTTAAGAGCAAAATGCAAAACAGTGACATTTAATTCACTGCATTTAACTTGGCAGTGGTAAAACCGGCACCGCATGTACTTACTTGCCGGCAACCCGACAAAATAAAAGCTTGCTGATTTTAGGTTTGAAAATGTTGAAAATTCATATAAAAAGTTAAAAATAAAAATAAAATTTAGCATTGTATTTTTAAGTGTGATATAAAATAAGTGTATTTTTTATTTAATACTAATTTTTTTTATTTTAAAATGTAGTATTATCACACTTTATTTGTTGTTTTATTTATTTCATTTTAAAAATAAACTAAAAGTGCAATAATACTATTATTATTTTATTTATATTTAATGGGTCACACTGTGCAGTGTGAGCACCAAACCAAATCTCCAGGTGCTCTCATGACAACCAGAATGAATAAAAAAGTGTGCACCCCCTCACTATAACCTCACTATATCAGCTGCATTCAGTATAGGATTTGACTGTTTGATTCATAGATTAAGTAGGCTATTATAAGTAGATTCATAAACGGACTGTTTTTTGACTGTCTTCTGTTTTTTTTTTAGACTAGTCAACAACAATATAATCAGTTGAGGCACACAACCCTATTTTGTAATCCTTTTTTAAATGCAATAACATATTCAGCTGCCATGTGGGTACCAGCATATCACATTGCAGAAGTAAAATGGGTTGTTGAAATGTTTTATGTTGACTTTAAGACAAGACTTCCCTTTGCTCTTGTTTATTGATTATTGTCATTGTAACTTTATCCTCATTTGTGTTTTCAGAGGAGATGGCCACCTATCTACGCTATGTCCGGCGGTTGGATTTCTTTGAGAAGCCAGATTACGAATACTTGCGGACCTTGTTTACGGAGTTGTTTGAACGAAAAGGATATACCTTTGATTACTCATACGACTGGGTTGGCAGACAGATTGTGAGTCAACATGTCGTCTTTACTGCCTAGAGAATAAAGTGGCACAGTTTATCCATCTCTGCAAGACAGCCTAATGTTGCTGTCTATAGTTGCTCAGACACAGAGCTAGTTCACCTTGGAACTGATGTTCTCTGTGTTTTGGTTTGTCTTTCTCAGCCCACACCGGTGGGGTCGGTCCACGTGGACTCAGGGGCATCTGCCATCACGCGTGAGAGCCATGCACACAGAGACAGACCCTCCCAGCACCAGCCCTTAAGGAATCAGGTAATCTTCCACTGCTCATTAAGGAAGCTTAAGATTGGTGAACCTTGTTTTTATTTTATGGGAAAGGAAAGAGAAAATGTCCCATGTTCATGTTTCTGTCCACACACCCATTTATTAAAGGTAGATCATATTTCCCCTGAACCAAATGGGTGAATCTCACAAAACAAGTCTGGGTCATATTTCACCTCAAGATCACAAGAAAGAAATAGAATTGTTGATGTAGAAGTCGGTAAGAATTTTACCTTACACATTAACTTGTTCAAAAATTACAGTAAACATTTTTGCATTGTTTTCAAAAGATTGCTATTTCAAATAGTATCAACTGGTTTTAACAAAAATATTAAGCAGCACAACTATTTTTAACTAATAATAAATCAGCATATTTCAGAAGAATAATGTGACGCTGAAAACTGGAATAAAGTGTGCTAAAATAATATGCTTTGCCACCACCTGCATAAATTGCATTTTAAAATATATTAAATTAGATAATTATTTTTAATTGTAATAATATTTCACAATACTATTATAATTTAAACGGTTATGTATGTGATTTAAATAAAAAAAAATTGTTTTTTCTTTTTATTGTCATGCAAAGTTTTAGGACAGTAATGAGAATCACCGTTGAGAAAAGTGGAAATTATCGAAAAATTTGTTTGTTTATTTATACATGCATGCATGCTTTTTTTTTTCCTGGTAATGAGAATTTGGGGGAGGGAAAGGTCCTTACTAGATCACAATACTAAAAATGTAGAAATTTGATTTTTTAAAACGAGTTTTGATTTAATTTTGGAGTGAAATAATGGCCTAGACATGTTTTCATGACGTCTGTTGAAGAATTCTAAACAGAGCTGGTAGAGGTGGAGTTGATTTTAGAGGTTTTTTTTGCACCACTACATGAAACTTTAAACAAAATCATTAGACTCGCCCACTCAGCAACTGGCTGCTTCAGCATACACTGCTTTAGCACATCATGGCTCAGAGTGCATGCTGGGAATAGAAGTTCCTAAAACTATATATTTCCAAGTATATACGTCACTGGAGACTATTTTTATATTGATTCATTTGCCAATTTGTGCTTTTTCTGGCTTTCTCTTACGTTTGCAAGAGCAAATCCGCTTTGCACATCTCTCAAACTTGCCCTGTATCAAACTCATCTGCTGAAGCGAAAGTTGAATTTTGGTTCATAAAAGATTTTCACAAGTGTTTGAATTTGGGGTGCACTCAAATTAGTGCTTATAGTTCAAGGTTAAAAGATTTAAGTCAACAACAAAAAATATTTTTTGTTTCATGAATAAAGGTGCTTTTGCAAAGACAGGGTGAGATAATGAAGTGATGACTACCTTAATTTTGGCTAATCTGTTCTTTAAAACATCTTGACATCACATGTCTAAGGTGTTTCCATTGATTTGAATTTACATGTATCCTTATGATTCTTGTGAGGGAAGAGGAGTGCAGATATCTTTAGAAATCCTTGGCTGAAAGACACAAGGGCCCTGCAAACTGCCTCATCATCATTTTGGTGGAGGTTCTGGTGTTTAGTGAGTCTGTTTAGAGGGCATCGCAACACTAATTGGGGCACATCAACACCTATTCAAATTTTCACAACAAAAGTCTTTAAACTTTTTTAAAGATTTAAACAGTACTTTTCTATAGACTTGCTGATAAGAGATGGGGTACAACAGGTCTAAAGGTGCACTGGGGTCAAAGGCACATTTCATTTTATTCTCTTTTAATGCCAAATATTAGTGCTGGGCGGTATACCGGTTCATACCGAATACCGGTGTTTATTTTTGTTATGATATGAATTTTTTAAATACCGCAATACGTATGCAATATGCAATATGTCGCTTAAACAACGTTCGGAACGCGACACTGTTTGAAAGGGGTCCCAGCGAGGTCTGACTTTCCCGGAGAAGTGACACCTCTCTCTGCGTCTGTTCTGTGCAGTGAGCGACAGAGAAGCAGCACATTCAGTTGGCCGCACCGCAGCCGACTCGTCAATAAATGAGTACAAAACAGCGTTTCCTAGCACCTGTCGCTTACTGATTGTTTGGAATTATAAATATGAGTGTAGTTCGTCTGTTAATATCACATGC